CTGCCCCCAGTGGCAGCAACAGCAGGACGGGGTAGTGAGGACCACCCACCCAAGGCTCAGCATTCTCAGAGACAAATGACCACCGGGCCGTCCATGAACTCCTCACTTAGAGGCCTCTCCCACCAGCCTGAGGCTCATTGCCACGGCCTGGCCCCTCCCGTGGACTCAGCAGAGCCCTGATTCTAGTTCAGAAACATCTTTGGAATCTAGGCCCTCCTCTGAGTGCTGGCCGCTGGGATTTTAGTCCCTGCCCTGATCTCGGCAAACGCCAACCTCCTAACTGCTCACTCTGCCCCCGCTTCCCGACCTGGGCCAGGCCTAACTGTGCCCCGTCCCTTGTAGGTCACCCCTGGCTACAAAGTCCAGATTCCGTGTAGTGTCCATTCAGGCCAGACCCTTGTACTTCCCGGCCACCTGCCCTCTCCATCTTTACATGATAAATCACTACGGAGAGTGGACGGTGTTTTGTTCTTTTGTTTGTATTTCCCTCCCCATAGGGCATGTGCACTCGCTGGAGAGAAACAGAGAGATTGGGAGAAAGTGAGAAATCACCCCCCCCCAAGGGGGATGGTCACACCACAATTCCCTTCTCCTCCATTCTCCTCCCAGGATTTTGGGCATGGACACACACATGTCTGGTGTTGATTTTTTTTTTTTTTCAAGCTATCAGCTTGGGAGTTGAACTACGGTCAGCCATGTGGGAGTTCAACGCCTTAGCCAACACGCCACTTGCAGGTCCTGAGAGGGAGGGTTTTTTCAGTGCTCCACACCAGGTTAAAATCAACTTGCCTCTTCTTTCCTGCCCATTTAGGAAGCTCGATCTGCCCAGCAGAGCTTTCAAAGCTGCCTCCGAAGGAGACTTCGAGCTGCAGGGATATGGCTTCGAAGCCGCCAAGGAGCAGCTGAGACAGCCCCGGATCGTGCGCGTGGGGCTCGTTCAGAACAGAATCCCCCTTCCGGCCGACGCCCCTGTGGCGGAACAGGTGCAGCCTCTTTTGACCATAAACACACACGGGGATGGGGCCTGCCCTTTTTGAAAATGTCCTCCACAGAACCTGGCCAGCCACTTGCTCCAGGTGGCCCGGTGGTAGTCGGGGGTGCCTCTGATGTTCCCAGAGGTGCTCCTGCCCTGGCCTCCCCATTTGCCAGGAGCCTGCACTTTGGCTGCTGCTTGTCCTCTGTTTCTCATCCTTTCTCTGCCTGCCTCTCAGCACTCACTATTGTTTCTACCTTCTCTTCCATTTCCTGTCCTACTATTGATCCGCAGCTCCATTTACCAACTGGGAGGGTGCCCTCTTGGCTGGCTCCGGCTCTCTCCACGGGACGCTGCCTCCCGGGTCGCCTGCCAGAGGGCCTTCTGCCAGCACACGCCGGTCAGGACCATCCCTCGGTCCACCCCGTGTTCCTCTGCCTTAATCCTGCAGGCGGGGACTCGGCATACCCAGAAGGCTATCAGCTGACGGTGCCTGCAGGCTTACGGGAACACGATAGGCGTTCGCTCCTGACCTTACAGTTAGTAAATACATGTGACAGGGCCTTGTATTTCCCTAAAGAAGTCTGTTGTCACAGAAGCAGGTGCTTTGTTTTATATACTCCTCCACGGCGTGCTGCCTTAATCCTGCAGGCGGGGACTCGGCATACCCAGAAGGCTATCAGCTGACGGTGCCTGCAGGCTTACGGGAACACGATAGGCGTTCGCTCCTGACCTTACAGTTAGTAAATACATGTGACAGGGCCTTGTATTTCCCTAAAGAAGTCTGTTGTCACAGAAGCAGGTGCTTTGTTTTATATACTCCTCCACGGCGTGCCTCCAGCTGCTCAAACTTTCTCTTTTTTTTGGAGAGGTTTTTGCTATAGGGCCCGTGTACTCACCAGACAGACAGAGAGATAGAAAGTGAGAAATCACCCCCCAGGGGGGATGGCCACACCGCAATCCCTTCTCTTCCATTCTCCTCTTGGGATCTTGGGCACGCACGCACACGTGCCCGGTGTGAGTTTAAGCCACCGGGTCCGAGACTGGAACCGCAGTCGACCACGTGGGAGTCCAACAACATAGCCATTACGCTAACTGCTGGTCCCTCTATTTTTTTTTTTTTTTTGAGAGATTTTTTTGTATAGGGCACATGTGCTCACCAAAGAGACAGAGAGACAGAAAGTAAGAAATCACCCCACGGAGAGACAGCCATGCCCCAATCCCTTCTCCTCCAGTCTTCTTTCCGGATTTGGGGCACATTGGCACACGTTGCCTGGCATGAGTTTTCAGCTGCTAGGTCTGGGACTCAAACTGTGGTCAACCCTATGGGAGTCCAGCGCCCTTAACCCCCACACCACCTGCTGGCCCCCCTCAGTTCACTTTTTATTTTGTTGTTGGCGAATGTATCTCCTTCAGACTGTCAGGTTGGCAAGCCACGGATATTATTATTCTCATTCCCATGGCACCTCGAAGTCTGCTTTGCATATTGGTAAAGGCCAGCAAATATCTGGGGAGCCCCATGGTGCTCAGCCTCTTGAGGGAAGAGGCCAAGGGCATTGTTATGAGTGTGCTCTTTGGTTCTGGCCTGGTTCCTTTGATCTTTCTTTCTTTCTTTCTTTCTTTCTTTCTTTCTTTCTTTCTTTCTTTCTTTTTTTGAAGAGGTTTTTGCTATCGGGCGTGTGCGCTCACCAGACAGGCAGAGAGAGAGACAGAGAGACAGAAAGTGAGAAATCACCCCCCGGGGGGTGGGGATGGCCACGCCGCAATCCCTTCTCTTCCGTTCTCCTCTCAGGATCTTGGGCACGCACGCACACGCGCCCGGTGTGAGTTTAAGCCGCCAGGTCTGGGATATGAACCGCTGTCGACTACGTGGGAGTTCAGCAACATAGCCATTACGCCAATTGCTGGTGCCCCTTTGGTCTTTCTTTGAACGAACACTTTTGAATGTTTCCTGGGAACCAGGCACCATACTACGAATACAGAGATGATGAGAATGCTTTCTATTTTATTTACTTATTTTAAAGATTTTTGCCTTAGGGTGCATGAACTCACTAGAGAGAGAGACAGAGACAGGGAGAGGGAAAGTAAGAAACCACCTCTCAGAGGGGATGGTTATGCCACAATCCCTTTTCCTCCATTTTCCTCCCAGGATCTTGGGCACGCACGCACACACACGCATCCAGTGTGATTTTGAAGTCACCAGGTCTGAGATTTGAACCGCAGTCAGCCATGTGGGAGTCCGGCGATGTAACTGTTACTCCATTGTTGGTCCCCAGAACGCTTTCTTCCTGGCCCTAAGGAGCTTGTGGGCAGTGGCACACAGTGGGAACAGCTAGGTATAGGGGAACACAAAGGCTGGGGGCAACTCTTGGCCCACGCACAGCCAGGAGAGAGCAGGTTCACAGGGCCGCATGGGTAGTAAGACTTGTAAAAGATTGGGTAGAGGGAGGCAAGCCCATTCCTGGTGAGGACACAGCACACATCAAAGCATGGAGAGTCAGAAAGGCATCATTCGATGATAAGATACACAGAGGAAAGCAGAAGTGGCAGGATAAGGCAGGCCCAAGGTCTTGATGTTGGGTGGTAGAAGATAGACTGGGGCCCGGGCCTGAGGGAGCAGTCGACCCGGGGACTGCTTGGGCGAGTGGGCCCTGCTTGCAGTCAGCAGCGCCATCTTTGTTCACGGCTCCCAGCAGCCCCCACTCAGGTGGTCATCTCCCCCATTGCTGGATTAGGAAACTGAGGCAGCGTCTGAATATCTGTGGGAACCCAGAGCCCGAGCACCTCTCCCTTGTCTTGCAGACTTTGGACCTGACAAGAAGAACAAATATTTGTATCTCCCAACGCTACTCGTTCTCACGCACCTGGCCCGGTGCTGGTTTATTATCCCATGCACATTCAGATGAATTTCTAAAAATAGTCTTACTAGGGCCAATAAGAGGCATAGTGGTTAAGGCGCTGGACTCCCACACGGTTGCCTCTGGTTTGAGTCCTGGACCTGGTGACTTGACACTTATATCAGGCACATGTGTGTGCATGCCTAAAATCCTGAGAGGAGAATGGAGGAGAAGGGATTGTGTCATGATCATTCCCCTGGGGCTGGGGGGAGTTGATTTCTTGTTTTGTGTGTGTCTCTGTCTTTCCAGAGAGCGTATGCACCCTATAGCAGAAATCTCTTTAAAAAAAAAAAAAAATTATCTCAGGACCAGCAGTCGGTGTAATGGCTATGTCGCTGGACTCCCATGTAGTCAACCACGGTTCAAGTCCCCGACCTGGTAGCTTAAACTCACACTAGGCGCCTGTGCGTGCGTGTCCAAGATCTGGAGAGGAGAATGGAGGAGAAGGGATTGTGGTGTGGCCATACCCCCTGGGGGGTGATTTCTCACTTTCTGTCTCTCTGTCTCTCTCTGTCTTTCTGGCAAGCACATGTGCCCTATAGCAAAAACCTCTCTTAAAAAAATAAATCGTCTCACCCATAGAACTAAATGGATTCTAATCCTTGCTTTCTAAATCACCAGGTCTCTGCCCTTCACAGGCGCATAGGAGCCATTGCAGAGGTGGCTGCGATGTGCGGAGTCAACATCATCTGTTTCCAGGAAGCTTGGAGTAAGTCTCTTTTGTGGTGCTTTCTCTGCTGCCTTTAAATAATAGTTTATTATCTTGGGACCAGCAGTTAGCGTAATGGCTATGTCGCTGGACTCCCACGTAGTCGACTGCGGTTCGAGTCCCGGACCCGGTGGCTTAAACTCACGCCGGGCGCGTGTGCGTGTGTGCCCAAGATCCCTAGAGGAGAATGGAGGAGAAGGGATTGCGGCGTGGCCATCCCCCCTGGGGGGTGATTTCCTGCTTTCTATCTCTCTGTCTCTCTCTGTCTGTCTGGCGAGCGCACACGCCCTATAGCAAAAACCTCTCCAAAAAAAAATAATAATAATAATAGTGTATTATCTTTATGTTGCCAAGAGTATCAGCTACCTGGTGTTCTTTTCTTCTTCTTCTTCTTCTTTGCTTTTCTCATCCATAGAAACGTCCTTTGTCAACATCACCTGCAACCCAGCAACCTCAGCCTCCTTCCTGTCACATGCCCCCGTCTGTTGCCTGATCCTGTCAATTCTGTCTCACAGATTGTTCTGAATCTGTTCACTCCTCCCCACTTCTGTACCATGGCCTTGTTTTGAGCCACCATTTCTCACCTTGGCTTTTATAATTACCTCCAACTGGTCTCTTTGTACCCTCCCTCTGTGGCCCCTTTTAACCTACTTTACTTTAAATCTCAGTCCAGACGCAGCCTTCCTCTATAAACACTCCTGGTACCATGTAACTTTTCTTTACGTTATTCTTCATTTTTATCTGAGTTATACATGTTCATAATTTAAACTCAGAGTGTCTACAAGGCCAGAAATGTAGCTATTCTCTCCCTTTGGCAACTACTTTCAACACTTAGCAGATTCCTTTGGAATTTACCTTTGTGTTGCTACTTCCTGATTTTTAAGTTTTGTGTCATCTCTTGACTTCCCGTGGAAGAAGTCAGTATTAGTCTTTTGGCTCCTCATGGCCCCTCTACACACATATATCCTTCCTTCTGTCCATCTATTCTCTGCCAAGCTATTTTATCAACTTTCTGTTTTTCTTGGAGTTTAATTTGTTTTCCTTATACTTATTACAAGTTCAACCTCAACCTGCCAGTTTTCTAAATCCTCTTAACATATTTAGATACCTCAAGCAGTCTGTCAGTTTCATCTCCATGAAGGAGTCTGCCTCAGACCCTGCTCTAGTCTGAATTAGTTGTTTGCCAGCCATGTGTCTGTCATCCTGGGATTTTACTATACTATCATTCTGGGGTATCCCTTTGCCTTGTTCTTTAATTTATCTGTTCCTACATCTTTCTCTTTCTTGGTA